ACAACAATACCCCACACCCGCATCCACACACACGCAGACGCACCCACGCCCACACTCCAGACCCACATCCACACCCTTTCGACCATTATGGCCTTTATGTCCATTACGGCCATTATATCCATGGAACGTTCTAAGGAAACTGTGCACGCATTGGAGATTAAATCATGTTTTCGGAAACTGTTCTAGTGGTGCGAAAAATGAATGAGTTTCCTGAAAACTCATATAACGCATCATATGGACCAGCAACAGTGATTTTAATTTCATTACTTCGAATAAAGAACAACCACTTTTAGTAATGAACCAGTATGTATATAAATGTAACAAAAAAACTCCCAATAAGAAATATTGGATATGTATAGTTATGGATTGCAACTAATACGTCCATACTGATATAAATAACAACTATTTATTTGGTGGTAAAAGTGAACATGGTCATCCACCAAATCCAGAATCTATGGAAATCGAACAAACTCGTGAACAAATACACCAATGTGTAATCAATGAAGAAACACCTATTGGAAAAATCTATGACGAAGAGATGTCAAAAAGTGTTATGAATTCAGTGGCAATAGCCATATTTCCAACAGTAAATGAAATTTGTAAGTTATTGTACACGTAATAATTAATGAATAAACTTCTGTATTTTTAGATCATGGTGTCGCTAAAAATCGACGCAAAGTGATACCACCAATACCAGATTCATTCACATTTGATATTCCTGAAGAATTCAAATCAACTATTGAAAACAAATGATTTTTATTTTTTGATGAATCTCGTATAAGGCGTGAACGTTCAATGCTTTTTGGAAGTGATATTCAGCTGGATTTATTGTTCAATTCTTCAACAATTTACACGGATGACACTTATAAAATAGCTTCAGATAATTTTACTCAGATATATATAATTCATGTAGTTCATTTCAATATCTGTAAGTAGGACTTTTATTCTCCTTTTGAAATGGCATTGTTATTTATTTTAAGGTGTGCCGTACGTGTTTGGATTATTGTTCAACAAAAAAGGAGCAACATACAAAGTGATTTTTAATGAATTAAAAACTGCTGCTTTACAAAAAGGAAGTGTTTCTTTCACCAACAGTTATCATGACTGATTTCCAACCTGGTGCAATTTCTGCAGTAAAAGCTGAGCTTAGTATCACATACATTAATCGCAAACACATAGCTTACTGTTCTATTTCGTTGTTTTTCAGTTTCGAGCAGTTAAACATATTTGTTGTTATTTGCATATATGTCAAGCCGTGTACAGGCAGATTCAACAACTTGGATTGCAACAACAATATATGTTTGATAATACATTACGTGCTTTATGTAGATAGTCGATGGCTTTGCCATTAATGCCACCTGATAAAATTGTACATGGGCTTGATGAAATACGTGAAGCTGCTGGTTATTTACCCGGTAAACCAATGATTCAACTATTGCAATATTTTGATAACAATTGGAGATCAGATATTAATCTTTGGAATGTATTTGGCTTGAATAGTAGAACCAATAATGTTTGTGAAGGTAATGTATATTTTTCATAACGCAAAACGACCAATTTACTCTTTTTAATTGCAGGATATCACAATCGAATGAAATCTCGTATTTATCGACATCATCCAAACATTGGGAATTTGATCAATTTTATGAAAGCTGAAGAAAAACGTGCACAAAATATTAAACTTTAATGGTCTTCTGGTGCATCAAAACCAAAAAACAGACGAACAACAGCATTACAAAATCGAATAAATATCTTGTATGATCGAT